TAACCTAACCCTTAACCTAACCCTAAACCTAACCCTTACCTTTATGTGAATCGGATTCCTTTAAAAGCGCTTTTTAAAGCGCCCTTTTTTCTCCGCGGTCGTATTTGTCGCGCTGCTGATGACGTCAGGTACGCGCTTTAATCGGGCGCGCTTTAGTGGACCGCGGTTTTGTCATGCCACAGATTAGCAGCACCTGGCTGCCACTTGGCCTCTTCATACCTGGGGAAGCAGTAAGGGTAAACTTTTTCACATACGGCTTCTTTATTTTGGCTTTTGTTTTGTAAAATACATGACATGGAGTCATGTGTTGCCCATCTGAAGTTGTATTTACCTACATTTGAGAACTGTGAAAGATGGTTTTTGCTATGCCCTGATACGTAAAACACGAGGGTGTATTTTATTCGCATGACAGCCCCCCCCCAAAAAAAAGTCTAGCCATCTCTTTTTCTGCTAAAATGCTTTATGAAAAGACACATCTGATATTACAATAACGGAAATCAAATGCCCTATGAAGTCATCTTTTCTTGGCCTGAGTGGTTTCCCATTTCTGCCGCCTTTGTCTTCCTAAACTCAACCTACAGCCTGGAGATTTTGCTGTGTGTGTTTGTGTCCTTGATGCTCTCTGAGCTTGTTTTCTTGCAGACCTAGTTACCAAACTAGGTAACATCGTCAGTGCTTAGTAGGGAATGGGATTTTACTCGGTTTATATTCTGGTGGCTTGCACCGGCAGCATTCGTGGGAGTGGTCCATTCCACAAATCCCACTCCCTCCTAGCACTGATGATGCTACCTAGTTGGGTCATGAACCGTCTGCAAGAAAACCAAGTTCAGAGAGCACAATCCTCCTCCATTCCACAAATCCCACTCCCTCCTAGCACTGATGATGTTGCCTAGTTGGGTCATGAAACGTCTCCAAGAAAACCAAGTTCAGAGAGCACAATCCTCCTCCATTCCACAAATCCCACTCCCTTTTAGCACTGATGATGCTGCCTAGTTGGGTCATGAACCGTCTGCAAGAAAACCAAGTTCAGAAAGCACAATCCTCCCCCATTCCACAAATCCCACTCCTTTCTAGCACTGATGATGTTGCCTAGTTGGGCCATGAAACGTCTGCAAGCAAGCTCAAAAGAGCACCAAGGATCCCTCGTTTTCAACCCCAAGCTACAAATACCTTCCTTTCTTGGAACCGGGGAGATTTCCTAGTGGTCCCCTGCCCAGCCTCAACCCCCGGCTCGGCTCAGCCAAGAGGCTCCAGCAACTTCCTCTCCCTTCCCTACCCCGCCCCCAACCCTGTTGCAACGCGGAGTAGTTTCCCCCCAGCTTGGAGAGCTCGAAGGACGCCAAGAAGCCGGGAGAAACCTTTGTCAAGTCTTCAACGGGGAGTGGGGGGCAGGCTGGAAGGGAAGCGGCGGGGCGGGGCAGCCCCTCCTCAAAGCAAGAGGGGCACCTCGTAGCAGCCGCAAAAGGACCGGGCGTTGCGCCATTGCCGGCGGGGTCTCCTGGCGGGGTCTGGCCTCTCCGTCCAGCCCCCTCCCGTGGCTTATTCACCGCCCGCGGACTTCCCCGCCGTAGCAGGGCGCTGTGAAGGGAGCCGGACAGCGCGATCCCGCGGCGGCGGCTTTCCTCCGTTGAGCCTCGCCTGCCCGTTGACGGGGCGGCGGCGGCCAGGAAAGGGGGTCTCCAAGCGCGGCGGCGGCGCGCGTTGCAAGCCCCTCTCTTCGCTCGGCGGCCCATGTTAGCCCGGCCGCGATGTCCTCCCCGGTGCGCTCGCCCACCCTGCGGCCCCATCGCATGAGGAAGGACGAGTCTTTCCTGGGGAAGCTCGGAGGGACGCTGGGCAGGAAAAAGAAAGCCAAGGAGGGTGAGTAGCCCGGAGGCGGCCGGGAGGGACGGCCGCGTCCGCCCCCCCCCCCCCCGCTTTCCCCGCGGGCTTCGAACGAGAACCGTCGCTTGTAGGAAAGGCAGAGAGCCGGGCAGCTTAGGAGCCACGTCAGTCAGAGTTTCCCCGGTGGGTCGGAACTCCGGAGGGACCTGGTGGTGGAATTAATGCTTTCCCCCAAATTTGGGTAAATGTGGATGGATTTGGATTTGGAGAAAGGACGCCACCCTGGTCCCCAAATTGTTAGAATAGAATAGAATAGAAAATGGAATAGAATAGAATAGAGAATATAAAATATAAACTAGACTAGACTAGAAAATAGAATAGAGAATAGAATAGAATATAAAATAGATTAGACTAGAAAATAAATAAAATAGAGAATAGAATAGAGAATAGACTGACTAGAAAATAGTATATAAAATAGAATAGACTAGAAAATAGAATACAGAATAGAATAGCATAGAATAGAATAGAATATAGACTAGAAAATAGAATAGAATAGAGAATAGAATGGAATAGAAAATAGAATAGAGTAGAGAATAGACTAAGACTAGAAAATAGAATAGAGAATAGAATAGCATAGAATAGAATAGAGAATAGACTAAGACTAGAAAATAGAATAGAAAATAGAATAGAATAGAGAATAGAAAATAGAATAGAATATAAAATAGACTAGACTAGAAAATAGAATAGAGAATAGACTAAGACTAGAAAATAGAATAGAATAGAGAATAGACTAAGAATAGAAAATAGAATAGAAAATAGAATAGAAAATAGAATAGAGAATAGAATAGCATAGAATAGAATAGAGAATAGAAAATAGAATAGAATATAAAATAGACTAGACTAGAAAATAGAATAGAATAGAGAATAGAATGGGATAGAAAATAGAATAGAATAGAGAATAGAATGGGATAGAAAA